AGGAGTGGCATTTTTGACTCCTCAGGAACATGTGTAACCCCTATCAACATATCGTCCAAGAACTGATATATGGATTGAATCCTAACAAGAGGAAGATAATTATGGTATTCATTCATTAATATAAGATAAAACTGGTCTTATTTGGACTGATAACTTCTTATGACTTAAGGCATATATGATGTAATGTAGTAGCTATATAAACAAAAAAAGCCCATGCCAGCAAAAAAAATTGTATGTAATTTCATTGTATGYGTGCATGCCATCCTTCTATCAGTGGAGTGGAATAATGGCTGGTAAGGATTATTTTCTAGGAAACTCAAGTTCCTCCTTTCTTGGGAAGCTTCTTCTTGGTGGCAAATCATTGCTTGGCAAGAATGAMACTGTAAACTATGAATAGTACTCTTTTTACTGCTTTTGTGGCTATGTTGGACATACTAGTCAGACAATGACGGGTTGCTGAGATGGAGCCTCCTAAAAATAGGCATACATGGATCATTAAAAACTCTCATTGTTTTGTCAAAAGTGGAGGTAGGATCTACATAGACCTAAGGAAACATACTACTGCCATCATTCCTTATGCAAAAATAGTAAGAACATTCCAAATATTAAATTAACKTTCCCAATGCAATTGTAATTATATCCAAGACTATTGTCAACAATACAAATTATTCCACTGAATGGGCAGGCTTGGACCTATGTATTGACAAGARGACCTGGCCATATCAAGGCTTTGGTGGACCCCTTGTTAACTATCTCAAAGGAAAGATGATAACAAGAGGCAAACAAACAGTAGTCATGTCTGATGTTGATTGCATTTGCCCAAGGGGTTGGAAACATCAACATCATTGATGGGAATCAAGCAATGATTGGCATACCTGCTCTGACCCTGCTAAAGTTCATCACCTTGTTGAAAACTATTGGTAAGATTGGATTGGGCAAGCTGTGGATGTCCCTGCCCCATATCACAGCCAACAATTTCTTTCTATCAGATTCCATCTTGGAATGGATGGGTGAGCAAGGGTTAGGTATGATGGGAACTGTTGCTAAGAACTGGTTGCCTGCAAAGGTTCCTGGGAAGTGCTTTCAKAAGAAGAACACTGCTGGGGATTCCAATGGGAAATGGAGAGCCAAGACATCTCCTCTTGATAAACCTGTCACTGCCATGAAAACTGTACCAGCTGATCCTTAGAAAGGAACAACAGCCTACAGATGAGTGCACTGTTCATTCCAGAGCACTGGAGCCTGCAATTTAGGATCAGTGAACTCTATTTCATCTTCCTCTCTTTACATTCATCAGAAGGAAAGAGGAAGGGGGAAATGACAAGCGTAGATGGGGCATTGAAATGAATGAGTCTTGTGAGGTTTATCTTTTTGCTTACGGGAAACTAGACCATATTGATGAATATATCTCCAGAGCCAACATTGGTTACAAATTGTAGAAATACTACCATGCTGCTGCAATTAATCATGCAAAAGTGTTGGCCATTGCTACAGCATAAGATATCTACAAAGAATGTACTAATGGTAGCCTAGGTGATGAGTGGAAGGTAACCAATGTGATGAGCTATCATGAGTTCCGCMAGAGGCTTGCTTTCCAGTGGAGCAGGCATATAACTGTGATACTAGACTGACGAGGCAGTGTGCAAAAGCAACAAGAAAGTTAAGAACTGGTAGGGCAAACTAGAAGAAAAGCAAGTAAGACTTTCCTTAAGAATGGAAAGTTGCTTGGATATCACAATTTGCAGACCATTGCAGAGAACAAAGTTAATGGAAGGTTTTGCTTCACTCACACTGAGTATAAAAGACATTTGAAGGCAATGGTTCCCACCAAGTCAAGGAGCAAAAATGTTTGTTACATGTGTGGTAGTAATGCTTACAGCATGTGCAAGCTAGTATGTGTGCCCACCAAGTCAAGGACAAAAATATTTGTTACATGTGTGGTAGTAATGCTTACAGCATGTGCAAGCTATGTGGAGTCCCTCTATGTATCACTGTAAGCAATTCAAAGAAGAGGGATTCTAATGGAGATCCCATCTCCTCACGATTCATCTCCTCGTATCCATAACTATTTGGATCTTCCATCTAATGCCTGGATCCATACCCTTTATTAACAAAATCACTTCCCTTGCCTTTGTTGCTGGATRCCACTTCATCTCCATGTTGCCCTATACGATTGTGAGCTTGAGCTGCGGCATCCAGTGCTTGTGAGCACAGGCCTTGGTTCCTTCATACACAAGGGTTCTGGCTTGATGCCTTGTTTTTTTTTGCCTCTCCTCCTATTTAATTTCACCCTTTGCTTTGGATGACAACCAAACAAGACTGCTCCGGTGCTTCCTGGAGGGACTGAGTCTGGGGAGCTTGCAGGGCAGCGTCGATATACATCCTTATGGAGATCTTCAAGGAGGAAGTCTGGTGTTTTTAGTATTTGTTGCTCAGTATGCTTGTTTTGCTGCTGCTTTGTTTTTAGTGCTATCCTCTATTTTCTTCAGGGGTTTCCTCCCTTGTGGGATGTATTGTTCTCAATTGATTTGAGGTAAAAGAAATGGGATTGACACATCATGTTAATAGTGTGGAGAAATGGTTCTGTCATGGTTCCTTCTGATAAACCGGAAAGAGAACAAATGTATGAAGGAGGAGGGGTATTGCCAAGTTCTGAGTTCACACAATTTGTGGCCTAATTTAGTGAGCAGTTTGTTTGTTGAGGTGCAAAGTGTCTGTTGTGGGACTCAAATGTGTTGAGTAAAAGCAGTCTTAACACAGTAATTAGATGGTCCAAAATCAATGCACYGTACAAAATGCACATAGAGGGTTAACTAAGGGTCAACTCACTCTAACAGCTCTATCTTGGTCCACAACAGACGCTTTCCATTGATAAGTACATGAATGGAAAGCCAATACAAGACCTTTCTGGGCTTGTGGGGGGTTATAGGGGCTTAACGAGTATTGAAAGGTATACAGGGCTGTATATCTGAAGTAAAAAATGTACWATTATTTTGGCCAGAAAAACATAGTCAACGCTATATGATACAATAATACCTACAACTTTCAGGGGAAATTTTGGATTCCTTGGTCACCTTCACAATTTGAAAACCAATCAAAGTACAACATTTCTTTGTCTTGCTATTGTTGGCCCTTTTGTCTTGGTGAAATAGAAAGAATTGATTCTTGTCAGAAGTTCCCTCTCCTTTCCTACAACAACTAGTAGTAGTACAGGAGTCATGGCTCTGTTGTTTTTGTCTTCTCTATTTCTTTTTTAGGTGGGGAATGWCTGTTTCCTGTAACCAAAATATATTGGCCACCAAGACCAGGACAAGTTGCAGTCATATTCTCTGAAAACTAGTATGTGTACTTTAAACCCTCYTTTGTCACCACTGTCCCTTGCATACTCATTCAGCTCAAGATCCCACTGTAAATTCTCCTTCTAACCAGATGTGAATCAATGGYAAGCAATTGTTGGGGACCAATAAACAAGAAGCTGTAATTGTTGGACTGTATTTTTGTAGTACTACCTTTGTTCAATGTAAAAAAGTGTGTACTACTTTGACTAAGCAATTTACACATATTTAAAGCCCTCAAAATTGACCAAAACTGGCCACCAAGCATGTGTGGATGGAATCTGAACTCACAGGAGTAATAAACAATTTGAACAAGTACTACATATCAGTTATTTGAGTCAATATGCACTACAATTTTCAGAACATTTTTTCAAAATGCATATAATCTTTTCCCATGCCCAAAATTACAATCCAGTTYGGAAAATKTAYCACCTACTACAATTCATGATTGGTTGGCTATCAYAGGCACTTTCTACAGTGCAAAAACTGAGGAGTGCATGGGTGGAAAAATTAAAAATAATTTAGAAGTGAATTAATAAAAAAGTTGTGTTTTTTTCTTGTTTCTTGTCACAAACAGACCAGCACTGGAAGAAGTTCTAACTCTTTAAAGGACAACATGAATCCAATGATTKTTTCTTCTTGTTTAAGACCAGCAGGTTGGAACCAAGGCATTTTCTAAAGATCTCCCCTGTAATCTGTGAACAGTTCTTGTTTTGGGAATATTAATTTGTACTTTCAGTGGTATTAGTAGTGTTCTCCCACACTTATGGGAACCGCAGTCTGTGATGACTGAAGTGTTAACAATTTGTRGTTACTAAATGYATCTACCCGTAAACKGAATCTGACCTRGATCACATATCACATCCATGTGGTACACAAATTCTTAACTCCAGCAAACTGGGAACGACACTTTCTTCATTAGTTTCAGAACAATGATTTCCTGCATCAAAAGTGCTAGTATAACAATGCTGAGATTTTTCAGCAGTTTTTGATGACAGTTCTTCAATTTTCCACTTTGGCATGTCATCATTTAGTTTTGGGTTAGCATAAGTAACAATGCTGAGGAAGGAATGATGCTTGGAAACATGCAAGTAAAATTACTAACTGTGCTTGTCCTGAATACCCTGATGTTTGTCATAACATCAGTACTAGTAGTAGTAATGTTAGTTTGGTCGCGCCTCCACAAAACCTCCTCGGAGGGAGGCGCTGCCCCTTGGAGCAACTAGAAGCATTCTTTCTAAAAGCTGTTCTGGTCATCTTAGTGCCTCTTCTAGTTCACGAGGTTAAATATTATTAAGATTTTTTAGTAGTAATGTGAGTATCATCAATTGGTCAACAACAAACAATGTTCTCAAGGTTGTAGTACTAGCTTGTATCAGATCTCTCAGTATTGCTATCTGCTGCCTTGATGGGGATGTCCTTGTCACAAAGTTTTGGAATGGCATCCTCCTCCACACTGCTGGTGAGGATGCTACAATTCTCAAACAATGGAAGTATCAATTTAATGACTTACTGTGCTGTCTATGTTTTTTCCCACCACCAGTACTAAGACAGTATCCATACCCTTTACTGATCTCATGCCAGTTCATTTTCTTGGCAGTAGGASCCTCCTAGATTGAAAGCTTTTTGTGCTGTGATGTTGGAGCAAAGTAATACAGATATCCATTGTCACACCACTACATGATTAACAAAGAGAGTCAGACATCTTTTCTCTCCACCAGAAAATTATCAAACATAAGCCACTCTTTTCCCCTTACCTTGAACTTTTATCATCCAATGTCACCGGCACTTCCTTCTCATGATACTACTGTATCAGATTTTTTTAAATCTACCAAGCATTCAAGATCCTACTATTATTACCACCAATATCAAGAATCTGATTGCTCAGTATTTCCCTACTGTGTCATTGTGGGACAGAGAAAGWACTTAGCTAGTCTTTTGAAATGACTCAATGGCAATTAATGATTGAACAGAAAGACTAAAGGGAGAGCCCATACGTTTGGTGTTAACCGCTACCTTCATGCCAGACATGATTTTCAGACACTGTTCTTCTTTTTTTCCCTGAACCATAATTAATTTTTTTATACTTTAAGTAATGCGATGAAAAAACTCACATAGCCACCCCCAGCAGAGGTCCTCACCAAAAAAACTCAAAGTCAATGACCACAACACAAACACACTAGTAAGACAGCAAATGTGTGCAAAATGCAACCCCCTCCTTTAACCACTGCCAATTTAGTAGTTCTTGTTGGAACTAAGTCAATCATCAACCACCAATCAACTTCTACTTTGCATAATTCTTCATCCCCTTGTCCCCCATATATCCTGGAAATTTAAGACTGAGTGTGTTACTACTGGGGTTCCAGAGGGAGTTATTTTTTCAAATTTGGAACTGCAGGAACAGATCTCTGCCATTTGTTATTATTTTGCCAGCACCAACAAGAAGAACTCTCCGCCATTTCATTATTTTTCCACCAAGCACAACTTCACTACTACTAGTATTACCTACTTCCGCCAAAAATGAATTCAGAAACAGAATTCTTCCACCAATTTACTACTACCTCGACCCCATGAGAACTACTACTAGTATGACAACACCCTCTACTACAGCAAGTGGCACAACCACCAATCTAACTGCTGTGTATGACAATTTTTTTTTCGAAAAAGATCGAATCCACAGAGTTCCTTGTACCGGTAGCAGTAACAAATTTTTCCGGGAACTCTGCTTTGAGGTACGATTACGAGTACTACCGTACCCTACGGTACAGTAGTACAAGCAGTACATATTTTCAAGAGGTTCGGGTACGGTACCGTACAAGAGAACGACCAAGGAAACGCGATCACATGATTAATTCAAAGTACGAAGTATGTACCGTACGGTACGAGGCCCTCGTTCTTCGTAATAAAACATACTCGTTCTGGTACGTACGATTAGGTACGTACCGTACAATACAGCAGTGCTTCCGCATGCTCTTCACTCAAATACCGTTGTTTTCCATGATATTTATGAATAGTACCATACTATCATTGCCCTCCTGACTGGAACATACTGTATCAGTTCCGGGAGAAAAGTCGGGGACTCGATCTTCCGTAGCAGTACACGGAAAATGTCTCGACGTATTCTTCTCCCTTACTTGATCTAGTAGTAGATTTTGTCAGAAGTACAACGAGATGATTGTCACTAGTCACTCGATGCTGAGATCTCCACAAAAGTAATTACGTACGTAGGTACGTTCATCGACGGCTCTGTTCTAGTGAATTTGTCTGTCAATAATTGAATTGTCTTTTAGTAAAGCGAACGAATAGTGTCGAAGTCAGCACACTGCCGGAAGCAGTTTGCGAATCCGAAACAGCCAATCAAAATCGAATCAGATGAAACGACTTCAGTCCGTCACCGAAATTTATCTTGGGATCACGCAACTTCTACATTATGTAACGGCAATATTATAAACTCCGAGAGTTTCCCGCTACCTAGAACAATGAAAATGTTTTTAGCTCCAAATTAAAAACTTGTCATGACACAGTTTTACTTATACTTCTCCCAAAAAAACGAATTTTAAAGCATCTGTTCGCTACACAGCCATTGTTTTTCAGTGCGATAAACAACATCTTCTTCTCCACGACACTTCAGAACCCTTCCGTTCTTGACCAATCGAWACATAGTCCGTGATCTAAGAAGCGTTATCAGAGCATCRAAGGTTTCTAGTACGTAATTTTACGTCAGACCACCKTGGAATACTTGTCGACRCATCWACCCTATCCATCTTGGTGGTGCCATTCTCTTTATTGCTCGCCCCGATTGACCATTAACATCAGATTTYTGTTGCAATTAAATGGGGTTTCACTTCCGAGACTGWAGTCACAACGACCATGAACGATCAAGAGCGCCAACAGAGCAACCTTTTACCAATATCTGAAGTGACCGGTAAGCATCAAGCAGATATTGGTATTGAGAGGTGTGCAGGGAACGAAAACACAACACAAACACAGAAAACTATGACAGCACAAAAAGAATMTTACGAAGATAGCTCKAAGGATCCTTTCAATAGTGACAARGAAAAGTTAGTGAATTTGTCACCCAAGAAAGAGAACGCGGATGACATTGCATCTATGATTTCTCAYATCGTAGGCCGAGTTTGCGAAGACTCCGTTGCTTCGGATGTTAGCGGTTTAACGGATGCAGACATTTTTAGGACGGAAGACTTCCACTCTTCCCCCACCAATGCACACTCCGTCGAAACTGTTGTTCAAAATGAATCACTCTCTTCCTCCAAGAATAAGAAGAATTTCAAATCTGTGGTTCGTAGAGCTCCCAATGCACCGGCGGTATCCGGCGCGCTSACCGATATTGAATCAGAGAATACATCGACCACAGTTAGTAGTAGTCACGAAGAAAAGACTCCCAAGAGCAGGAAGAGGTCTGTCAGCTTTTGTGATGTTCAGGTCCGCAATTACGAACGCGTTCTAGAGTTAAATCCGTCTGTGACATCTGGCCCCGCACTTGGGATTGGCTGGAAATATTCCGTTGAACAAGAGTATTCGGTGGAGAATTTTGAAGATAGCCGAGAGAATTTCCGTCGCCACTCAATGAAAGAACTTGCCGTGTCCCGGGATGAGCGCGAGGATATTCTGCGTAGCTTGGGTTATTCCCAGAAAGAGATTGCAGGATCTGTCCGAGCCATCATTCGAGCGAAGAACCAACGCAAGCAAACAATTCACAACTTGCATGTGTCCTCTATGGAAGAGTTTATGGAAAAAGCAACAAGAAAAGTGAAGCGAGTATTGTTGTTCCCRCTCCACAATCGCAAGAAGGCGAAAGCGCTTTACTCTTATCCAACWCAATCGCCTTTAAGTGCCAAGACTTTAGATTCGTGTGCGCTGAAGAAAACATCTCTCCGTGCTTAAAACGCTKTTGCCAAGGCACAAAGAATGATCCATATCGGGTAGTTTACTTTGGATGTCATGGTCAAATATTCTACCAACCAGCATTTTCCTTCGCTCGCTGGATTCTATAACATGTTCACCTTCTCTAGTTTGATCTTCTCACAAGATCCCTCACAACTCAGGCATCGTTTTTGAATAACTTCAATTTTACCTTCCAAGAAGTTAACGGATATGCCTCTGATTCGTTCATGATGATAATGAATCGCCGATTTAATYACTAAGCTTTTGCTGAAAGCGGCGAACAGTATTTTGGTCCATCATCCATACTGGCTTTTTGTCAAAGTTTTGGAAACCGTAMACAARACAATTTTCACATCCAAACTTYGTGTTCGTGGCCAAGACACACAACAACTTTTCATATAATTTTTCACCAATTTTAAAAATAATTTAGTTTAGCGAACAATTTCCCACAAGATGTGTGTTACGCAAGGCGTCCAGGAAAGAAGAGTAAATCAGTGAAGTGGAAAWGGGATCGTTCTGAGTTTTTCTCAGTTCAGTCATCACATGGTGGATCAAAGASTGATCATCCTGTTGAAAGTACTGTACGACATAGTTGGAGAACACCGATACTTCTTCTACACAGAGTTTCTGGTGTAGTGTAATACATAAAGGAAGAATAGCTTTTACATGGCTTTGGTTGTAACTTTTCTTTATGTTTGATTGCATCTGCCAAAAAGGTTATGAATATTTAGTACATTCAACTTTGGAACTGCAATTTTGGGAGTACTACTGTGAAAGAATCAATTACTAATTCACTTCCTTTACAATCAAGCAAAAAGGGTATCTATCTAGGATATCTAATACTACTAGGACATTTGATCCTGGGAGCAGATCAGCCACAWTATTGTTGATGGTAATGGAGTAAATTAGCTTGTCCTGGTGGTGGTGGGCAATCATGATGGAAGAGGACAAGGAGGAGAGGAGGACAAAAAGAGGGAGTCTTCAACATTCTTCTTGCTCTCTTCCTACTAACATTTGAAAGATATCCAGTTGATGATGACACTGATGAGATTCAGACCTGTGCTGTTACCAACATAGTCTTCTGTAAAGGAAGAAAAAGAGAAGCAAATGCAACACCATGGCAGATTAGTACTTTATTGGTAGTAAAGAACAAGAGGATCTGTGGCAAGAGGAGGAGCAGCATGAGCATTTGGATTTACCTCAACTGGCATAATGTACTAGGTACAACTTGTGGTTGAAACTTTCCAGAAAGGTTCTTCTTTTTGTATTGCAGCATCATTCTGTAGCCATGGTCACCATGCCTTCCAGAGAAGATATGGATACTGAAAGGATGTCATCCTCTGTGCCACCAGCCTTCTTCCCATGGGGGACATGTAAGTTGTGATGATTGCAATGGTTGATCAAGGGGAGGGGCATCACTCTTGTTGCCATGAAAAGTACCTCTGTTCTCATTASTCTTGTAGTATCCTTACTCCATAGTACCAAAAAACTCTTCTACCTTGTTCCTCTCTATCCCCAAGGCTGGTATTTCTATCTATCATCCACTTGATTGCTTTTGCCAAGAAGGCAACCTCTGGAGGAATGTTGGGGTCTCTGGTTGGAATCAATTTCTGATGAAGAAGCTTTTGATATTACTTCCTACTACAGCAGATGATGCTGGAATCAACAACCTCCTCCTCTCTGAATGGATAGGATGATTTAGCATGCTGGTGCTTGTCACAAGTAATACTAGTACTACTACTAGTAGTAGTAGCAGTACTACTAGTACTTCCTCCAGCATCCCACTATGACTGTACTGTGACTCCAATTTTGCTGTCCAGTTTTGAAAGTCCCTTTATTTACTTGACACTCATCAAAAAGTGTCATTTAACCCCGGATAAAATATGACTGTGTACATCACCACCTAGAATCAGTACTAAAACTAGAAATGTGCATGCGCGTGATTAAAAATTATTATTTTTGAATAAAAAAAGAACCATTCAAATTGCCCAAATATTGAGTTTATTTCAGTAGTAAGCTTGTTAGGGTAAAAAAAAAACTTAATATTATATTTAACCTCGTGAACTAGAAGAGGCACTAGGAAGGCCAGAACCATGGCTGTCGTGAGAAAGAATGCTTCTAGTAGCTGCTCCGAGGGGCGGCGCATCCCTCCGAGGAGKTGTTATGGAGGCGCGACCAAGTTGTATGTACTCTGATAGGCCGTTGAAGGCCCAGGACTGGACTCAAAGGACAGGACTGGACTCAAAGGACATGGTTTAAGTGAAGTATTGGTTCATAGTAGTTTGGATGGTACGGTTGGGTGCGGTGGAGACCAAAGAATTTGTTGGTGATGCAGGGGATTTGTGCCTTCGCTTCTTGGAGTATGCATCAAAGACCAGTCCGTCTTGTGTGATGCTCTCCGGCGGACTATGAAGCAATGGTTGAAAATACTGAGTAATGGGGTGGGTGTTGGTGACCGAAGCATGTATAGCTTGGGAGACACTTGCCAGAATCGGTTTCTCGTAGGCTCGGTGATAATAAGATAGCATGGATAAGCTTCTTGTTAGGGTACAATCATTCAGGGATGGAGGAAGTAATAGGAATAATCCCTCTCATGATGTACAATATGGTGTTCAGAAGAAGTTAAGGCTCCCCCCCATTCCTTGTTGCTGCGTTGCAACCCCAAAGAAGTACCAGTACTTCAATTCAGAAAGGGGCACTTTCTTGCATTTTGAACCTGGATCGGGGCGTCAAGGGGTCCGGAGGGCCCAAACAAGTTCTCGGASTTTTCCAATCGACTCGCTCGACTAATTAATGATACACTAATGTCTAACGTTAGGTTTCTTTTACTCGTACCTAAACTTACAACAGCACAGATTGCTGTGATGTCCGGTACCAGTACTACTCCGTTTAGGAACAAGGCAGGGCTTTCAAAAGCAGAGAAGCATCATGTACTAAAATTGTAGTAAAACGCAAGGTAGTACCGTACGTCGAGTACTCGTACTATGCCATACAGTACGGTACGTAGCTGTAGAGCACCTGTACTATGCCATACGTACGGTACGATACCACAATCGGATTTGTTTCGGTTCATGATTGCAGTACAACGTACCGTTCGATACTCGTGCTTTTGACCATCATCGTTTCAAGTGAAAACATTAACCAAACCKAATGATACCATCTCTTCAGAGCAAATTTACAAGGTCATCTTACAGCTATCAAATCAATCTGTTCCCCAGCGGCTCGAGTGAGGAAGCTAGAAGAAAAATAAAAAAGAAATGCCCAGGGAAGATCAATGGGTGGCCGTTGCGCCGCAATTTGCTCAAGAAGGTAGCAGCGGCAGCGGCAATGTGATCAAGCCTGCCCAGTCCGCATTTACATTCTGGCAAAAAGACAACTCAGAGAACATAAAGGCGGAGCACATAGCCTCGAACAATGGAAAATTTGAGGTTGGTCTCTTCTCAAGAGCTATGCGGGGGAAATGGAACAGCCTTGATGCCTCGGAAAGAGAACCTTACGAAGACTTGGCACGAGAGGACTTGTTCCGTTTTCGATCAGAATCACACAAGGCAGATGTAGCTGCCATGCAACGCCGGGAAAGATTGCAACAAGAAAGATCGGTCTTACTGCTAGACGACATTGGTGGAACGCAGCGGGGCACCCGCGGGCAGCGCGCCCAAAAGGAACGAAAGGAGAAGCGAAAAGAAAAAAAGCGTCTCAAGAAGATGAAGAGAATAGCCGATGCCGAGGATGGARTTGACGATGACTCTACGGGCAGGGGGAAAAGCATCCTCGATGATGGAGATATGGAATATCAGGATGAAGATGAAAGCAGCGGGGAAGAAAGCTACAGTGGTTCTTCTGATTCATCGGACTCGGACGATAGCTATCGACGGAAGAAAAAGAAAGCCAAACCAGCGCCCAGAAAAATATCGCAAAAACAGATCGAGAATAGACGGAGGGCACAGGAAGAGAAGCAGCGGAAAGAAGCCATTATTGCCGAACAGCAAGAAGACATACAGAAAGAAAAGGCCGTCCAAGCGAAGAAACGTCTCGAGTTTCTCTTAAAACAATCTTCAATTTTCTCTCACTTTGGTAAAGTAAAACAGGATCAAGCAAAATTTGGTATTAAGTCGGGAGCAAAAAGCAACAACGATGAAAAACAAGGAATGAGTAGAAGAGACCAAGCAAATGCAAATCAAGAAGACGAGCTCGAAGAAGCAGATGAGCACCAGGCGACTTTCCTCACAGCTCAACCAACAACCCTTGGTTTTGGAAAAATGAGAGAATATCAACTTGAAGGACTAAATTGGATGATTCGTCTCCAAGAAAATGGAGTGAATGGGATTTTAGCYGACGAGGTGAGCTATGAGAGGGTCAAATGTAGGACTGAAGTGGTTCTATTGTGTCATTATTTATGTTTCGAATCGAATCGAATCGAACCGAACCGATCCAAGCAACACTATTTCGATGGCCTAATTTTTTTTCTGCATATTGATTTCACATTTTTGCTCAATCAATTTTTGTTTATTGTTAGATGGGWCTAGGGAAAACCCTCCAATCCATTTCTATTTTGGTTTACATGTTGGAGTTCCAGAATGTTAATGGTCCGCATTTGATTATTGTACCAAAATCTACACTCAGTAATTGGATGAACGAACTAGCACGATGGGCTCCAACCCTAAAAGCAGTCAAGTTTCATGGAGACAAAACGACACGGGAAGAACTTATTGAAACAGTACTACGTCCCGGAAGAAAAGATTCAGAGCGTGATTGGAACGTTGTTGTGACCACGTACGAGGTCTGTAACATAGAGAAGAATACGTTCACAAAGTTTGCGTGGTCGTATCTCATTATCGACGAAGCTCATAGGTAAGACAACAAACGCCTACGTGCAGTGTGGCTTGTATGCATTTTATCGTCTTTGTGAGTTCTTCGCAGASTTTTCACCTCATCAGAAAAACCTTTTGACTTTTGCTTTCTGTAGATTAAAAAATGAAGCCTCCGCGTTTTCTAAAACAGTACGAACGTTTGAAACTCGCTATCGAGTTTTACTCACRGGGTAAGAACAATTATGCTGGTCAAAACGCTGTCCGTTCATTATATAGAAATCTTTAACTTACGAATCATCCAACTTTTTTCCAGAACTCCGCTTCAAAACTCCCTTCATGAACTATGGGCACTTCTCAACTTTCTAGTGCCAGATGTATTCGCCAACTCAGAGCAATTCGATGAATGGTTCAATCTTGACATTGATGACAATGATGAAAAGAATCGCCTGATTTCCCAGCTTCATAAAATTCTTCGCCCCTTCATGCTTCGTCGCTTGAAAAAAGAAGTCGAAACAAGCCTACCGCCAAAACACGAAACAATTTTATTTACTGGAATGAGTGCGATGCAAAAAAAACTGTACCGGGATATTCTCATTCGAGACATTGATTCCATTCAAGGAACTTCTGGTAGTCGTACTGCAATTCTGAATATTGTAATGCAGCTGCGAAAGTGTGCCGGGCATCCTTATCTGTTTCCTGGGGTTGAAGACCGCACCCTTCCCCCTCTAGGAGAACATTTAGTGGAAAACTGTGGGAAAATGGTGCTCCTTGATAAACTACTCAAGAGGCTCCAAGAACGGGGATCTCGCGTTCTTCTCTTCACGCAGATGACTCGTATATTGGATATTATGGAAGATTATCTTGTCATGCGTCGCTTTCAGTACTGTCGCATTGATGGAAACACGACGTACGAAGTTCGCGAGAACTATATTGATGCATACAACGCTCCAAATTCAGAGAAATTTGTATTTCTCCTTAGTACAAGAGCTGGTGGCTTAGGAATCAATTTACAAACAGCAGATGTAGTAATCCTTTACGACTCTGACTGGAATCCACAGGTGAGTTACTCTAATGTATGAAGGCACCTGCTGATATTGAGATTGTGAATAACATCTAACATCTCGAGCATATATTGTTTATTGTTGAAAAGGCCGATTTACAAGCGCAAGATCGTGCGCATCGTATTGGACAAAAGAAGCAGGTACAGGTTTTTCGACTAGTGACGGAACATACCATTGAAGAGAAAATTGTTGAAAGAGCGCAACAAAAACTCAAGCTTGATGCGATGGTCGTCCAGCAAGGCCGTCTAAAAGACAAAGACAAGTTGTCTAGAAACGAACTACTTGAAGCAGTGCGTTTTGGTGCTGACAAAATTTTCAAAAGTAAAGATTCATCCATCACCGACGAAGACATTGATCTAATTATCAACGCTGGGAAAAGGAAGACACAAGAACTCAATGATAAATTTCAGGCTGCCGATAAAGGTGACCTTCTTGACTTCACACTGGACGGAAATAGTAATATGCAAACCTTCGAAGGGGTGGACTATTCAGGGAATGCTCTAGCTGCTGCCAAAGCGGAAGTTGGGATGCTTGGAATACTAGATCTAGGTAAACGTGAGCGCAAGACTGTTGCGAACTACAACGAGAACAAACTGTACGCAGATCAAGTTGCTGCGATACAGGGTAGTAAACCGAAGGAAAGGAAAAGAAAAAAACCCATTCGTCTCCCAAAATCTCTGCGTTTACCTAGAATGGAAGAATGGCAAATGTTCAACAGGACACGTTTGCTGGCAATTCAAGAAGAAGAGGAAGCGGCATTCCGGGCATTACCTGAAGAGGTACAAACCGCAGCAACTGCAAAGAAAAAGGACAGATTCAAAGACGACTCTATCGTCACAGACGAAAACGTAGCTAATGCGGTAAACGCTGAACCTAGTACAGCAGAGACGGAGGAGACAAATCCCGAAGAAAAGCATGTTGAGCTTCCGCCTCTGCTGAGTGAGGAGGTTCAAAAAGAGAAAGATTCTCTACTAAAAGAAGGCTTTCTTGGATGGAGCCGTGTGAATTATACATCATTTATTAAAGCAAGTGCCAAATATAGTCGTTCAGACTTTGCCAAGATAGCTTCTGAAGTTGGGAAGACGGAGGCTCAAGTTGTTGAATATTCAACTGCATTCTGGGGAGAAATTGGGAAGGAGCGATTTTCTGAACACGAGTATACTCGTGTAAGTAATCTAGTTGCGAAAGGGGAAAAGAAACTTGTCGATATGAAGGCACTCAGGCAAAGTCTGAAAGTTTTCATTTCCCTCTTCGACAATCCCTGGGAAAAGCTCGAATTTACTCATGTCAACACCAAAGATAAACTATTTTCTGCCGACAACGATCGGTATCTGCTTTGTTGGACCCACAAGGTGAGCTCATCTCTGCATGAATCGTCACTCCCTCGTGCTTCCTTCTATATCTAACAGGTATCCTGTCCGTTTCCTTTTTTATATGCAGTATGGTATCGGACAATGGGATGCGATCAAAATGGCTATCAGAAGGAGCCCACAGTTCCGGTTTGACTACTTTTTCCGCAGTTTGCCGGTTGACGTCATTGGTCGTAGGTGCGAGACGTTGATGAAAGCAACGCTGAAAGAGGTGGAACTCCTAGAAAAGAAAATGCGAGAAGATATGGGTTTGCCAGGAGAGGTAAAAGAGGGGACTAGTCTTCCGCCCATAAAACTTCCCAGATTCAGAGATATGCAAAGGACTTTACGAGCAAAAAAGATTCAAAAAAGGGAGAAAGAMAAAAACGATCTCGAGGAAAAAGTTGAAAATTTAGAGCATCAGATAGAAGAAATTCAAAACCGACTAAAACAATTGAGTAAGGATCCAGATATTCAGAGAGAGAACGTTTCTCGGAATGGAGATTCTACCACGGAACGAGAACCAAGCCATCCGGTGCCTGTTTCTCCTCCGTCAGCTACGACAGAAGACGCCGTTGCAGTCGACGAATCGAAGGGTGCTATTGGTCCAGACGGTACTTTCGTCGAGTTTCCTCAATATGATGGGTTGATACCTCCTAAGGAGTACAAGAAGGCATTCGCCCAGTTTTGTCAGAGGACGCGTAAATCGGTGAAGAAT